GGCATGGTTTTGTTATGGTGTGAAGAGAAGGTGTTAGCTGCTGAGTTCTGTTTGTCAGCAGAGCCTGACAAACTCATGCTGGCACTCACGGGGGCTGGGCAACCAATCACAGCTGGAACAGTTACCGTCATGGAGTCCCTGTGGGCTTCCTCTATCAGGTCACATCCCAAAATAACATTGGGCAGTATTTCAAGTGAAGAAATGAAGGCTTTCGGGGCTGTAGCCAGCCTGGAGTGTGAGATTCTGTGTGAAATAGTTGGACCTGCTCCAGCGCTTTTGATCTGCATGGTAGATGAGCAGTAAAATGCATGAAACACGTTGGAAACACGTGAGGAAATTCTCCTGGCCCCACTGCTTCCTTGGAACTGGCAGGGCACTGAGTGGGCTGATCCTCACCTCCCATCTCTCAGCAGGATTATACTTGGAGGAGAGCAAACCTGGGAAAAGAAATCTTTCCACTAAAAGGACATTGCTACAAATCTTTCAGTAGTCCTCATAGAAGGAGGATGCCTGTTAGGTGGGCCCTTTTGGGAGAATTGAAAACCTCAGAGTCCTGAAATGCCAAAAGCGACCTCCACCAGGGAGAATAGGGGCTTTAGTTGATTGAAGTTTTTCTTTATGATGAGTGTGTTATAGAAAACTGAACTTGTTAGGCACATTGAGATCTGACTCAACAATCAGACATCTGCCTTTTTGTGGAACAAAAGATGTGAAAAACTGGCTTTTTATAGGGTAGAAAGCAGAGGTATGTCCTATGTCATAAAAGGACATGGAGTTCAGAGGAATATCTGTTTATGTAGATAGAGAGGGGAGACATATTTTGGAGACTTTCTGCCCTTACCATTCCCTGTCATTCCCCTGCAAGCCACCAAATTTACTGTGATTAGCCACTGGGACTGGTGGGTTTGTCTTAGATCTTACACTGCTTGTATATTGTTAATTTCTCACTCTAGAGTATTGCAGCTGGTCATTTGGCTCTGAACATATGGTGGTAGGGGGTTTCATGCATGTGCCCTAAGGGTGTCGACAAACTCAGATTTGTCCAGCCATCTCATTGTATAAGTGAGAAAACTGAAGCCCAGCTGTTGCCAGCTTGCCCAAGGTTATAACTGCTAAGTACCAAACGCTGGGCCTTAGTCTCAAAGATGTGACGCTTTTTCCTCCATTCATGTAGTATCATAGCATAGTAGAGAAAGCGTGAGCATAGGCTTTGGGGTTTAGCAGGCTGAGGTTCAAGATCTAGTTTCCACCACTTACTTGCTGGATGACTTCAGCATCCCAATCTCTTTGGGCATCAGCTTACTCATCTTCTAAATGGTAGGGGTAGTAGTATCTATGACCAAGAATTACAGAAAACTAAGTAACTCTACAAAATGCCTGACATATAGTAGATACTCAAATGGTAGCTATTGTTAATAATAGATGATATTAATAGTAGATGATGATTTGTTCCTTTGTATGCTAACATTCTGGTTCGTAAAATGATTTTTTTTCTTTTTTTTTGAGAAAGAGTCTCATTGTGTTGCCCAGGCTAGAGTGCCATGGCATCAGCCTAGCTCACAGCAACCTCAAACTCCTGGGCTCAGCCTCCCGAGTAGCTGGAACTACAGGCATGTGCCACCATGCCTGGCTAATTTTTTCTATATATTTTCAATTGGGCAATTAATTTCTTTCTATTTTTAGTAGAGAGGGGTCTCACTCTTGCTCAAGCTGGTCTTGAACTCCTGAGCTCAAACAGTTCTCCCGCCTCGGCCTCCCAGAGTGCTAGGATTACAGGCGTGAGCCACCGCGCCTGGCCTTAAAATGATTTTAGACCAACTACTCCAATGCTGACCACTTGCCATCTAATGAAAATGACAGTTTGAGAGATTGGCCTCAAACCAACCAAATCAGAGAGATAAGAAGATTAATGCTGCTTCCTTCCCCAATATTACTCTGTGCCCAAGCATCCCAACTCATGTGGGGCAGCTATTGACAGTGGTTTATTTAGTGCTTTTTCTCCAAGGAGCCTAGGACACTTTACCAAAACTGTGCTTCTGTCACTCTATTGAAGTAGAAGCTACCTCTTTAGTAGCCACAGATGCCTCCAAAGACCCCTGCCCCAAGGGCTGCAAGGATTTTCTTTAGGCCCCTAGGATCCTTCAGCTGGACTAGGGACACTCGGTTATGGATCTATGCTGAGCCTGTTTTTTTTAACAGAAGTATGGCTGAAGGAACCTCATTAGTCTCTGCCCTGATCTGATAGCAGTGACTGGTGGGTTTTGGTGTTTTGTTTATTTGTGTTTGGTTTTTTCCACTCAGTTCTTCAGTAGGTCTCTGAGGATATATGCCAAATTGAACGGGGGTTTCTCTGGTGAGAGCAACAGAAGGATAGCCAAAGGGGACTTTGGCTTTACCTGTGATAACTGAAATGTTTTTACAATGAGAGTGTGTTCATGTTTTATTTGTATAATTAAAGATAACATTTCAAAGCAAAACACTTAATTTTTCAAAACCATTTGAACAAAGCTAAATTCTTGTCTTATGATGGCCCCTTAATTCCTATTCTATTCTGAAATACACAGATTTCTTTTTTCTGTAAGCAAGTAGCTCTTATTACCAGAAACCAGCAGCTTGATAAGGAGTGGAGACTGTGGGTTTGAGAGGGCATGGAGGAAACTTCCTGGTCCCTACAACAAAGCATCGGGCTATGGGTAATGTAGGGTCTAACGGATAGGCCTTTCCTACACAGCCTATACAGTTGGCTCCTCGTGTCATCTTGCTACCTCTTTGATTTTGTTCTCCTTGGCTCAGAAGCCAGTTGTCCCTGGTATAACTTAGCCCTCAAAACAGGGATGGAATCCCTCTCTTGGGATGAACCTGGGGCTCTTAATAGCTCCAGGAACTTTAGTCCTTTGAGAAGATGTCTTTTGCTGTTACCTAAAGGTTGCCCTCTTGAGTTCTCTACTGTACTGGAACTAATTCTAATTGCATTTTCAAAGTATGCTATGGTACAGCAGGTCTACTTATCAACAAGAAAGTTAGGATTTTCTGACTTCTCAGCTAACATGGAGAGCTGGACACAGACACCAATGCACACCTACTGACCTGCCTTGCCTTCAGAGCAAACTTTGCTTCCATGGAACTCAGCAGAAATGCTCCCAGCCTAGAGAAGTTGCCAGATGGTTTGTGGAAGGTCCAACCAGCCTGGATACTTGAGGGAGATGCTAAGAGTTGCCCTCTAATCTCCAATGTGATTATGAGATTCCAGGGTCAGAGTCACTTTGAACTGATCTTTCCAAGGTGAGCTTGTTTGTGTTGAGTAGGAAAAGGCTCAAATCAGCCCAACTTGGAGCTCCTTCTTCTTTAGATGTGTTTCTTTAAGAGAACTCTCTCTCTCTTTTTTTTTTTTTTTTGAGGCAGGGTCTCAGTCTTTTACTTGGGCTAGAGTGCAGTGGCATCAGCATAGCTTGCTACAACCTGAAACTCTTGGGCTCAGGCGATGCTCTGGCCTCAGCCTCCTGAGTAGCTGGGACATGAGTGTGCACCACCATGCCTGGCTACATTTTGTATTTTTTGTAGACACGGGGGTCTCTGCTATGTTGCTCAGTCTGGTCTCAAACTCCTGGCCTCCCAAAGTGCTAGGATTATAGTGAGCCACTGCAGCCAGCCAAAACTCTTTTCTTAACTTTCAGTACTAGGGTTTTCATCCCTTCTTCAGTTAGTTCCTACCCTGGAGTGATATTGCCAGAGAATGAACATGGGGGAAGTAGTTTGGGGGTGTATTTCTTGGGGTGAATATTTTTCAAATTGAGTTCCTAGTTGCTAATAGCGGAATTTATTGACCTAGAGTAAACACTTTTTTTTTTTTTTTTTTTTTTTTTTGAGAAAGAGTCTCACTCTGTCTCTCAGGTTAGAGTGCAGTGGCATCATCATAGCTTACTATAATCTCAAACTCCTAGGCTCAAGTAATTCTCCTGCCTCAGCCTCCAAGGGAGCTAGGACTACAGGTGCACAGGGTCTCCCCACTACGCCTGGCTTATTTTTCTTCTTCTTCTTCTTTTTTTTTGGGTAGAGAATGGGTCTCACTCTTGGTCAGGCTGGTTTTGAACTCCTGTCCTCAAGAGATCCTCCGACCAAGGCCTCCCAGAGTGCTAGGATTATAGGTGTGAGCCACTGAGCCTGACCTAAAAGTGAACTCTTTGTTGATTAATTCAAGATAAGTAAAGCCTACAACCAAGTTCTCATTGAAAAACTTAAACCTGGGAAAAGAACTGAATTTGTTCAGTTGGCAGACATTTGTTTATCCCTGTTGTAGACCAGGTGTTAGGAATATAGTCCCAGACCTTCCTTGGCAGTTGAGAAATTCTTTCCCGTGTATTGTATTCCTTTGTCACCCCCTACCCCTTATGTTGCAAAGCATGGTGACTTGGAGTGAGTCCTTGGTAAATGGAAGTTATGATAATCTGTAATAATCATTATAATATATAATGGAAGGAGAGGGAGGGATCTGAAAATGTTGCTCAAATTTGTTAACATTCTCTCATAGCTCCTGGTGCCATCCTGGCAGCATTTTGTAGTTTCCCTGTTGGAAGAAAACTAAAGGCTCACTGAAATAGCTGCTTTCTCATGACTGTAGAACTTAGGACTGGGGAAAAAACTGAAAGTATTTAATCTGCTTCTAAGGTCATAGAATAGGGGTCAGCAAACATAGGTAGGTTTTTTAAAGTTTTACTGAAACACAGCCACATCCCATTTGTTTACATATTGTCTTTGATTACTATTGTACCACAGTGGCAAAGTTAAGCAGCTTTGACAAAGACTATATGGCCAATCAAGTCTAAGATATTTTCTACCTACTCCTTAACAGAGTTTGCCACGTATAAGCTATAGTATCATGACTAAATAACACGTGTGGTGTGTTTTCTCTTGGTTAAGGAAAATGCTAAACAAGTAATAGGATTATTGAAAGAATCTTTCTGCCTAATATATTAATCCATGTTCTTGTATGTATGTTCTAGGATCTGTCTGGTTCAATAGATGATCTCCCCATGGGGACAGAAGGAGCTCTGAGCCCTGGAGTGAGCACATCAGGGATTTCCAGCAGCCAAGGAGAGCAGAGTAATCCAGCTCAGTCTCCATTCTCTCCTCATACTTCCCCTCACCTGCCTGGCATCCGAGGCCCCTCCCCGTCCCCTGTTGGTTCCCCCGCCAGTGTTGCTCAATCTCGCTCAGGACCACTCTCGCCTGCTGCAGTGCCAGGTATCCTTAAGTGCTGGGCTTTGGGGAGAGGGAAAGGTGACTGGTCTCAGTGGCATTAGGGATCCCCAGTTTTCTATTGGCAAAGAGAGCATCTCTGGCTCATGTCTGCACGATTTCCCCTTACCATTTGAAGAAGGGAGATGGGAACTCTGTGGCTGGATCTCTCTGTATGAAATACTGAGAGGTGCTTGGCCTCACCTTGAGCTATTTCCAGCTTAGAATTGTCCTCCTAGCTAGAATTCCCAGGCTTAGACATGATTTGCTTATATCTTTCTTTGTCTGGAGCAGGCAACCAGATGCCACCTCGGCCACCCAGTGGCCAGTCGGACAGCATCATGCATCCTTCCATGAACCAATCAAGCATTGCCCAAGATCGAGGTGAGGGCCTGGGCTTTGGGGACGGCCAGGAGGGTAAGGTAGACACTTTAGTAGCCTATACAGTAGCTTTTGGAGAACTGTATGACCATGAAGCTTAGGACAATTCCAGTATCAAATTGTTTTTACATTTTTTTAAAGTTGACATAATAATTGTGTGTATTTATGGGGTACATAGTGATGTTTCAATACATGTATAGTGATCATATCAGGGTAGTTAGCATATCTATCATCTTAAATATTTATCATTTCTTTGTAATGGAGCCTAGCAGGAAATTGTGAAATTAGAGTGGGCTTGACCATGTTGGTGTCTCCAATATTGTGTTCCCCAACAGTCATTCTTCATTTCTCAGTGCTTATGTGTGTTTTGATAGATTTCTCCCTACATTATACCTCATTTGGTCAGCATTTGCTGAAGACTCAGCATTGAGTCTTCACCCATTAAGTCATTCACCATTTTGATCTTTGTCATCATTCCTTGTCTTTCTAAACCTCAACAGTTGGCATGCCCTGTTTAATGGCTTATTTCACTTTGGAGGTGCCTAAAAGGGCACATGACTATATAGCAAACCAGATAGAGACTCCATGCAAGTAGCTGCTAAAGAAAATGTATATGGTAAAGTCCCAGAATAAGGGGGAGAGCATTTGTTCCCATTGTACTGAGCTAATAACTGTGTGGATACCACCCACAAACAGGTTATATGCAGAGGAACCCCCAGATGCCCCAGTACAGTTCCCCCCAGCCCGGCTCAGCCTTATCTCCGCGTCAGCCTTCCGGAGGACAGATGCACACAGGCATGGGCTCCTACCAGCAGAACTCCATGGGGAGCTATGGTCCCCAGGGTGGTCAGTATGGCCCACAAGGTGAGTATGCTCTACTCAGTTAGGAGTAGATAGAATTTAGAGAAGAGAACAGTTCTTGTCTAATATGCTGCCATCTGGGTTGTAAGAATAGAACTGTCCTTTGCCTTAAATCCACCCAGCCTGAGTCCTCAAGTAGGGCAAGGCAGAATTCCATCTTATCTCTACTTACTCTGTCTTTCCTTACTCAGGAAAGTCTTTGAATTTTCCTGAGCCTCTGTTTCATCTATAAAAATAGAATTATAGGCCAGACATGGTGGATCCCACCTGTAATCCCAGCACTTTGGGAGGTCAAGGCGGGAGGATGACTTGAGGCTAGGAGTTAAAGATCAGCTGGGCAATATAATAAGACCCTCTTTCTACAAAAAAAATTTTGTAGTCTTAGCTACTGGAGAGGCTGAGGCAGGAGTATCATTTGAGTCTGGGAATTGGAGGTTGCAGTGAGTTATGATTGTGCCATGGCACTCTAGCTTGAGCAGCAGAGTAGTGAGACCCTGTCTTTAAAAAAAAAAATAGTGGAGATAATAGTGTTACCCCAGCACTGCGCATACACACTTAATACATGATAGCCAATAGCCACTGGTTATTACAATTATTTTTTTAGTGAATAAGTCCTAATAGTTCTTTGCTCAAAATTAGCCCTAGGCAGATCTAAAACTGAGTGTCTTACACAGAGCATGGCATAGAAAGCAAGAAAGGAAAGAATATGTAGAAAAGCAATAATTCTAGGAATTGAAAGACCTGGATAGCAGCAAAGCCAGCCTTGCTCTGTGCTTGCTTTAAGATAAGGGGACACTTGAGCTGCCTTTACATGATCCTAGCCTCCTCTTTCCTTTTTTTCCCCATGGAGGTAAAGGCTACCATGCAGTTGATCTCTTTCCTGATTAAAATATTAAATGATTCCCATCGTTTGGAGTTAGAGAGTTGAGAAATACTAGTGAGTTGCTAGTGAGTCACTAACCAAGTCTCTGTGTCTTCTTACCCTCCCCTCTCAGGAGGCTACCCCAGGCAGCCAAACTATAATGCCTTGCCCAACGCCAACTACCCCAGTGCAGGCATGGCTGGAAGCATGAATCCCATGGGTGCTGGAGGTCAGATGCATGGACAGCCGGGCATCCCACCTTATGGCACACTTCCTCCAGGGAGAATGAGTCACGCCTCCATGGGCAACCGGCCTTATGGCCCTAACATGGCCAATATGCCACCTCAGGTTGGGTCAGGGATGTGTCCCCCTCCAGGGGGCATGAACCGGAAAACTCAAGAAACTGCTGTCGCCATGCATGTTGCTGCCAACTCTATCCAAAACAGGTAAAAGCTGGGAAGTGAAGAGCATGTCAGTGTAAGAATTCCATTGTTCCATCATAGAGCCATTCAGGACATTGAGATGCCTCTGGACCTAAACCAGGAGGGAGGTGTGAGAGCTCTTTAGAAAACTAGGTTTTCTGGCTGGGCACAGTGGCTCACGCCTGTAATCCTAGCACTCTGGGAGGCCGAAGCGGGCGGATTGCTCAAGGTCAGGAGTTCGAAACCAGCCTGAGCAAGAGCGAGACCCCGTCTCTACTATAAATAGAAAGAAATTGATTGGACAACTAATATATATAGAAAAAATTAGCCGGGCATGGTGGCGCATGCCTGTAGTGCCAGCTACTTGAGAGGCTGAGGCAGGAGGATTGCTTGAGCCCAGGAGTTTGAGGTTGCTGTGAGCTAGGCTGACGCCACGGCACTCACTCTAGCCTAGGCAACAAAGCGAGACTCTGTCTCAAAAAAAAAAAAAAGAAAAGAAAAAGGATGGGGTTATTTTGTTTCTGTTTTTTTAAAATACTATGAAGTAAAGAACAGATTCCTTTGATTTAAAAAATAACTCTTCAGAGTAGGTGGTTTCATATCTATCAGTCAATTTTTTTGGTTTCCAAAAGGATTCTTAACGATACACATGACCTGAATCTATGGTATGAGAAACAGGGTGGTATGGTTGTGGTTTGCTGTTTCTCTACTGCTTTGTGTAGTCCTGTGTGCTGGAGTACAGAAGGCTTGTGTGATTAGGTTTAATGACTTAAACATTCATCTCTTCTTCTTTGGCCATGGACTTCGCTATGATTCCACTGTTACTCAAAGCTCCATCTCCATGCCCCTCTCCCCATTGTTGTTGCCCACCTTTTTTTATTTAATTTTTTTTTTAAAACTTAGCCCTGGCCAGCCCCAGGAAGAGTCTGCCACTTGGCTTATGATGCCCACTGTTCTTAAAGTAAATCTTATTGAGCTGTTGATGAACCCAGTTAGAATAGAGTGATTTGACTATAAAAAGCTAGATCTAGTAGAACTTCAGAATGATGGAGTGCAGAGTTTGCATTGGGCTCATCAGGAAAGAATGCAAAGCCACCTCCAGGTGCTCTGCTGATAGGTCCAGTCCAGTCTGATTGGAGTTTGGCATGACAAAGAGTAGTACAATTGAGCATTTCTTCTAGGCCTTTTGCCATAGAGAGGGTCCTTAAATGGAGATACATCTTGACTTTGGAGGTGACTTTGAGGAAGGCAGTACTTACAAGACATAGTAGGGCTCTATTCTTCAAAGAGTATACCCCTTGAGCTATTGTTTGCTATGTGGAGCTTAAACCCTCTTAGAACCTTTTGTGGGAGATAAAAGGTGAGAACATCTGGGCGAGGCGTGGTGGCTCACGCCTGTAATCCTAGCACTCCTGGATGCTGGGGTGGGAGGATTGCTTGAGATCCGGAGTTTGAGACCAGCCTCAGCAAGAGCGAGACCTCATCTCTACTAAAAAAATAGAAATTAGCTGGACAACTAAAAAATATATATATATATATATATATATATATATATATATATATACACACACACACACACACACATATGAAAAATTAGCCAAGCATGGTGGCGCATGCTTACAGTCCCAGCTACTAAGGAGGCTGAAGCAGGAGGATTGCTTGAGCCCAGGAGCTCAAGGTTGTGAACTAGGCTGATGGCACGGCACTCTAGCCTGGGCAATAGAGCGAGACTCTGTCTCAAAAAGAAAAATATCTGAGTGTTACATAGTTCTGGTTTTAGGGACTCATAAATTTTTCTTTTTATTGCCTAAATAGATGATCATATAACCCTATTTAGCTCAAGTCCCAATCTGAAAGCTCAGAGTCTCTAATCCTGGTCTCTCTTACTCTCTCTTTTCCTCAGGCCACCAGGCTACCCCAATATGAATCAAGGGGGCATGATGGGAACTGGACCTCCCTATGGACAAGGGATTAATAGTATGGCTGGCATGATCAACCCTCAGGGACCCCCATATTCCATGGGTGGGACCATGGCCAACAATTCTGCAGGTAAGTTGTAGTTATTGCTCACTCCAGGGATTTCTTCAAGCATTATCTTTGGCCAAGTGCCATGGCCCCAGCATGAAATTCCACCACTTTGGGAGGCCAAGGCAGAAGGATCACTTGAGCCCAGGAGTTCAAGACCAGCCTAAGCAACATAACAAGAACCCTGTCTTCACAAAAAAATAGAAAAATAGCTGAGCATGGTGGTGCATACCTGTAGTCCCAGCTATTCAGGAGGCTGAGGCAGGAGGATTGCTCGAGCCCATATGTTTTAAGCTGCAGTGAGCTATGATCATGCCACTGCATTCCAGCCCGGGTGACAGAGCAAGACCCTATCCCAAAAACAGAAAAAAAAAAAAGAAGTGATCGTCACATCATAGCTAAACATATTGGGCTTGAGAAGTCTTTTCTCTTTTACAGGGATGGCAGCCAGCCCAGAGATGATGGGCCTTGGGGATGTCAAATTAACTCCAGCCACCAAAATGAACAACAAGGCAGATGGGACACCCAAGACAGAATCCAAATCCAAGGTAATGGTTTTTGTCTTGAATCCTTTCAACTTTGTGTGCTATCCTTTTCAGTGATAGGAGGGAAAAGAAAAGAGTGAGAAGATTCCAGCCTTTTATGACACCAATTAGAAATTCTCTGTAAAAGCTGCTGTTGACCCTACTTATCAAGAAGGGTCCCAGAATAATAGCTCATTGAATTAGGTTTGAGTTAGCCTACAGGATCCTGATGTAAATAACATAATATTCTCAGAGCTGCATTTTATGGAGGAAATGCCAGACCCTGCATTATAGAGTTCTCTCTACTATTTGGCTGGTGCCCTATGTGAAACTGTGCCTCCTATACTCACGCATTGATAGATGGTTTGTGCCATGGGCAACTAGTTGCTCTTCTGTTCCTCAGCCTTACTCATAACAACAGGAAAGGTTGGTGCCCTGTGTTCTGTAAAGGAGATGAGGCAGATGGATCTTGGGTCCTTGGCTTCCCTATAGGTTGGTCATGGGTGTGCTGTCTGTAAAGCAGTGTGGTAGCCTTGGAACCTGCTTAGCATTTGGGTTATTTGAAACATTTCCATCCTTAGCCATACCTCACTTCCCCTATCTATATAAGGAGGGAAAATAAAAATCACAGCTGCTATCTCCTGTGAATCTTCACCTCTTACTCCCAGCCCTTATGGCCATCTGGCTCCCTTGGACAGGATGATATACAAAGCCTTCATCCACACAGAGCTAACATTTTCCATGAGAGAAAAAAAAAAAAAAAAAACAAATGAAAAAGATATCCAAAGCCTTCAGCCAGGTGGGACACCCTTCCTTAATCTATCCCATTGCCTCAAGATTGTGTTTTGAGCTTCTCAAATTCTCCAAAACACAGTACCCAAGTGTGTCCAGGCTCCTGGGTAGTAGCGTGGGAGTAATACGGGCTTTGATGTCAGGTGGACAAGGGTTTGGCACTCAGCACTGCCACATAAAAGCTGTAAGATCTCAGGCTTTGCTTCCTGGTGCCTTCTTCCTTATCTTTAAAAATGGGGATAATTTTATAATACCTCATATGTAAAGACATGTAGCACAGCTCCCAGTACATAACATGTAGTCAGTATTAGCATCCTTCCTTTGCAGGAAAAAAGTCTAGCTCCCTTTTGGCCCTTCAACCCGGTGAAGGCAGGGCAAGTGTTAGTGACCACTCCAGAGTAAGCTTTGTCACTGCCTCATCAAGAGACTTCTGAGACCCTTAGCATAGGCCTTGAATCTAACCCATTCCTATGAATTTTGACCTGAACCTTCCAGAAATCCAGTTCTTCTACTACAACCAATGAGAAGATCACGAAGTTGTATGAACTGGGTGGTGAGCCTGAGAGGAAGATGTGGGTGGACCGTTATCTGGCCTTCACAGAGGAGAAGGCCATGGGCATGACAAATCTGCCTGCTGTGGGTAGGAAACCTCTGGACCTCTATCGCCTATATGTGTCTGTGAAGGAGATTGGTGGATTGACTCAGGTGAGTGAGTGCCTGATGCTTCCTCTGTGGTTTCAACAAGCTTCCTCTCTAGGTTCTCATTGGCTTCATGTGGTACCATGCATCCCACAGGGACATCATCCTCTCCCACTCTCTGAATTGCACACTGACAGACCAGGTCTTAGAAAATAAGGAGACCTTCCTGGTAGTAGGAGGTATTAGCAGTTAAGTTTACCATGTATCTATAGTCCCACTGAGGTACAAAAACAGGGAGAGTCTGTGGGCATTCTGATTCCATGGGAGACAATTTGGCATAGTAGGAAGGGTAGGATTTGGAGAGATGAGCCTGGTTTTGATCCTGTCTTAGCCACTTACAGCATATATGACCTTAATTAAGGTATATAACCACTCTGAACTTAGTTTCCTTATTTGTAAAGTACGGCCAGTGTATATTCTGCTAGACTGTCAAAAGTTAGTAATAGTATTAAAGCTTTCAGCAAGGTTTCTGCCACATAAATTGGTCTGCAAGATGGTACAGAGGCAACCAGGGCAGTTGTTGATCTTCTCATTCCTTGACGCTTTCCAGTAAAGATAGGATTTTAGGAGCTGCTTAATAGAAATAGGTTATGAAGGAAGAAGTGTTGGGAAATTATGTGTTTATTTACTGTATATAAAAGACTTAAGTAAATGGACTAATCCTTGGTGAAAACCTCTAAATTAGACATCACCCAGAGCTTGCACCTACACTGGTACCTTACAATTTTGTTTTAGACTCAGCTCAGGAGGCAAACAGGTGAGGCAACACTGACAGCACACAGTGCCTTGCAGAATTCCCTCTTATGTATATTCTGTAGTTGCCAGACCAAAAGCCTGCTGTTGAATCAGAGTTTGTGGCTGAGCTCAGAGGGAGGCGTGGTGGGAGGGACTTACTCTAAACCTTCTAAATCAGAAGAGGAAAACAGCTGTCACCAGCAGAAAAGAAAGTGATTGGAATGAAGCCAACCAACAGTCAGTTATGAATTCCTTCTCCCTTCAAGCTTTATTCCCCTCCCCCACAAAGGAAAACAAAACAAAACAAGACACGTGTATACTGCCACATAATTGGCGTGGGAAGCAAAGCCACAGAAGTCTTCTGAGGTGACCCTAGGCTTAATCCTGCCATTCTGATAAGGAGGGAAAATAAAAATCACAGCTGCTATCTCCTGTGAATCTTCACCTCTTACTCCCAGCCCTTATGGCCATCTGGCTCCCTTGGACAGGATGATATACAAAGCCTTCATCCACACAGAGCTAACATTTTCCATGAGAGAAAAAAAAAAAAAAAACAAATGAAAAAGATATCCAAAGCCTTCAGCCAGGTGGGACACCCTTCCTTAATCTATCCCATTGCCTCAAGATTGTGTTTTGAGCTTCTCAAATTCTCCAAAACACAGTACCCAAGTGTGTCCAGGCTCCTGGGTAGTAGCGTGGGAGTAATACGGGCTTTGATGTCAGGTGGACAAGGGTTTGGCACTCAGCACTGCCACATAAAAGCTGTAAGATCTCAGGCTTTGCTTCCTGGTGCCTTCTTCCTTATCTTTAAAAATGGGGATAATTTTATAATACCTCATATGTAAAGACATGTAGCACAGCTCCCAGTACATAACATGTAGTCAGTATTAGCATCCTTCCTTTGCAGGAAAAAAGTCTAGCTCCCTTTTGGCCCTTCAACCCGGTGAAGGCAGGGCAAGTGTTAGTGACCACTCCAGAGTAAGCTTTGTCACTGCCTCATCAAGAGACTTCTGAGACCCTTAGCATAGGCCTTGAATCTAACCCATTCCTATGAATTTTGACCTGAACCTTCCAGAAATCCAGTTCTTCTACTACAACCAATGAGAAGATCACGAAGTTGTATGAGCTGGGTGGTGAGCCTGAGAGGAAGATGTGGGTGGACCGTTATCTGGCCTTCACAGAGGAGAAGGCCATGGGCATGACAAATCTGCCTGCTGTGGGTAGGAAACCTCTGGACCTCTATCGCCTATATGTGTCTGTGAAGGAGATTGGTGGATTGACTCAGGTGAGTGAGTGCCTGATGCTTCCTCTGTGGTTTCAACAAGCTTCCTCTCTAGGTTCTCATTGGCTTCATGTGGTACCATGCATCCCACAGGGACATCATCCTCTCCCACTCTCTGAATTGCACACTGACAGACCAGGTCTTAGAAAATAAGGAGACCTTCCTGGTAGTAGGAGGTATTAGCAGTTAAGTTTACCATGTATCTATAGTCCCACTGAGGTACAAAAACAGGGAGAGTCTGTGGGCATTCTGATTCCATGGGAGACAATTTGGCATAGTAGGAAGGGTAGGATTTGGAGAGATGAGCCTGGTTTTGATCCTGTCTTAGCCACTTACAGCATATATGACCTTAATTAAGGTATATAACCACTCTGAACTTAGTTTCCTTATTTGTAAAGTACGGCCAGTGTATATTCTGCTAGGCTGTCAAAAGTTAGTAATAGTATTAAAGCTTTCAGCAAGGTTTCTGCCACATAAATTGGTCTGCAAGATGGTACAGAGGCAACCAGGGTAGTTGTTGATCTTCTCATTCCTTGACGCTTTCCAGTAAAGATAGGATTTCAGGAGCTGCTTAATAGAAATAGGTTATGAAGGAAGAAGTGTTGGGAAATTATGTGTTTATTTACTGTATATAAAAGACTTAAGTAAATGGACTAATCCTTGGTGAAAACCTCTAAATTAGACATCACCCAGAGCTTGCACCTACACTGGTACCTTACAATTTTGTTTTAGACTCAGCTCAGGAGGCAAACAGGTGAGGCAACACTGACAGCACACAGTGCCTTGCAGAATTCCCTCTTATGTATATTCTGTAGTTGCCAGACCAAAAGCCTGCTGTTGAATCAGAGTTTGTGGCTGAGCTCAGAGGGAGGCGTGGTGGGAGGGACTTACTCTAAACCTTCTAAATCAGAAGAGGAAAACAGCTGTCACCAGCAGAAAAGAAAGTGATTGGAATGAAGCCAACCAACAGTCAGTTATGAATTCCTTCTCCCTTCAAGCTTTATTCCCCTCCCCCACAAAGGAAAACAAAACAAAACAAGACACGTGTATACTGCCACATAATTGGCGTGGGAAGCAAAGCCACAGAAGTCTTCTGAGGTGACCCTAGGCTTAATCCTGCCATTCTGATACTCAGCCAGGCCTCTCTTACTTGTGGGGAAAAGGGAGCATTGGGTTAGGATTAGGTGGGCTTCTGGACTCAGTGAACCTAGGATGAGGCACAGAGAAATCCTAATGCCTGGCCCTGACTTCCAGTTTGCAAAAAGATGCAAACTTTTTAGACACTGCTTTGTATTGAACTCTGAAGTCAATGAAAATTCAGAGGTAAAAGAGTGCTATTATAAGTTAGTCTATGAATGCTCTAACAAGGCAAAAGGTGAGTCTTAAGATTTTCTAAAGGATTAGTGGGGTTTAGGTAGAGGGAGGAGCCATTCCATAAACTGGCCCAGATGGCATGGGTATGGGACAAAGTCTGGAATTTCCTCCACCAAGGCCATCTCCAACCATGTAGACTCAGCTCAGGTGTTACTTGCCCTAGGAAGTATTCCTGGTCGCCTCCCCTCCATGTAGGTGATCCCCCTCTGTGCTTCCTTAAACTCTTCTCTCTGGTATCACAGGTACCATATCAACAAGTGTCACAACCTATTGAACTTCCTTTGTGGATCAGGACTGGAAACCCCTTGTTCCCAGCCCATGGGGGGACAGGCTTACCATATGGTAGATGAATACATATAAGAACCCATGAACAAAGAAACCCACCAGGCTAAAGCAGAAAGACTCATTTTAGGGAGCATTTAGGGAATGGTCTTGGTCAATGTGCCTGGAAGCTGAGGGAAGGAGACAGACCTATAAGCGGGCTACTGGGGAGGTACAAAAGAAATCATGAGGCCTTGAACATCTGGACACTAGAAAATAAGTTAAGCAGGGTGGTCATTGATATTACCACAAGAGTCTCCATTTTATAAAATGTTAGTTTTTATTAGTGCATTTAAAATAGGATTGGGATCTGCAGGTGATTTGCAAATCATTTTTCAGCAGTGTTATTTGTGTAAGGCAAAAACCAGGCTCTCTGAACTCTCTTCTAATAGGAATGTGAGATTTGCCCTCTCTTGAATCATCACGTTCTGATAGTTACAGTGGAGTATGCTGAGGATAGAGCAAACCAGCCACAGATTTAACGTTTGTTGTGGGCTATTCACCAAGCAGTATTAACTTTTGCAATTACGTAAGAATGGTGATTCTATAAGAGATGAGTAACTTGCAGCCTGATGGGGTTTGGGGATTGTGGGCAGAAAACTTGCAGCCTGATGGGGTTTGGGGATTGTGGGGATTGTGGACAGGAAAACCAGGTAGAAGATATATTCCAACTCTTCTGGTTGGTTATACAGGTCAACAAGAACAAAAAATGGCGGGAACTCGCGACCAACCTGAATGTAGGCACATCAAGCAGTGCTGCCAGCTCCTTGAAAAAGCAGTATATCCAGTGTCTCTATGCCTTTGAGTGCAAGATTGAACGGGGAGAAGACCCTCCCCCAGACATCTTTGCAGCTGCTGATTCCAAGAAGTCCCAGGCCAAGATCCAGCCTCCTTCTCCTGGTAAGGATGGGTGAGCAGCCCCACCAAGGCTGAGGACCTGTTACCCTGGCAGTGCTCTGCCCTGCCTTACCATAGGGCTTAACAGGTTGGCAGACTAAAGAGTGGGCAGTGGCAACTCCCTTGGAGGGTACTTTGCAGCAGCTCTTAATATTGTTTTTTTTTGCCGGGGGAGTTGTTTTTTAAAGAGATGAAGTTGTCATCCAGACTGGAGTGCAGTGGTGTGATCGTAGCACATCGCAGCCTTGAACTTCTCGACTTAAGCAATCCTCCCTGCCTTGGCCTCTTTTTTTTTTTGAGACAGAGTCTCACTCTGTTGCCAGGGCCAGAGTGCTGTGGCATCAGCCTAGCTCACAGCAACCTCAGACTCCTGGGCTCAAGCGATCCTTCTGCCTCAGCCTCCCGAGTAGCTAGGACTACAGGCATGCACCACCATGCCTGGCTAATTTTTTCTATTTTTGGTAGAGACGGGGTCTCATACTTGATCAGGCTGGTCTTGAACTCCTGCGTTCAAACGATCCACCCTCCTTGGTCTCCCAGAGTGCTAGGACTTCAGGCATGAGCCACCACGCCAGGCCCCACCTTGGCCTCTTGAATAGCTAGGACTATAGGTGTACACCACCATACCTAGCTAATTTTTCTTATTTTTTTTGTAGAGACAGGGGTCTCACTATGTTGCCCAGGCTGGTCTGGAACTGCTGGCCTCGAGTGATTCTCCCACCTCGGCCTCCCAAAAGCCTGGGATTATAGACATGAGCCACCATGCCCAGCCCTTAAGTTTTAATTTTGTTGTGTACCTGGCATCTTGCCAAATGTTTGTAAACTGGTGAGTGGGAGGGACATATGAGTAGGAGAAAACTGGCAAATCATAGCAAGACAAGGCCATCTGGGAGCTTTGGCCCACTGATGTCAGCACCTTAGAATGCAGTTCAGACTAGAGCCCTGAATTCCCCAGGGAGATGAGATGGTAATGAATGGGAAGGAGAGGGTGGGGAGGGGATATGAATGGAACTCTGATGGGAGTGCCTCTGCCCACCCTTCTTTCTGAGAGGAGGCTGGGGCCTAGGGGAGCCTGGGGAGGGAAGAAGGCCTGGGCGCCTGGAAGGTGGGTGTAAACACGTGTGCCCTGGTGTTGACCTCTGAGGGTGTAATGAGTGCCTCAGATGACTCATCTGCTGGGGAGGCCTCAGCAGTGGGATATCTACTGCTGGGAATGGTAACTAATGGAAACGTTAATTACCGTTCTATGCACATCAGCTTAGAGTAGCATTTGAACCTGAGCAATGACACTGTGCTGGATACTTGAGCATAGAAGCTTCTTGGCTCCTGAAATGAGCTACTGGTTTGGGACAAGATGGACCCTCCCCATCCTGAATTTTGGGGCTCTGACTAAGAGCTCGTGCACCAGCACTACAAGTTTAATAAATTAGACAAGATCCTTGGAGCAGTAAAGAGAAATAGGCAGGGATGCTGGCAGTGACTTGAGAAATCACAAGCATAATGTCATGGCACATTACTCCTCTTCTCTAAATGTAAAACAAAAATTGGAAGCAGGCCGGGCGCGGTGGCTCACGCCTGTAATCCTAGCTCTCTGGGAGGCCGAGGCAGGTGGATCGTTTGAGCTCAGGAGTTCGAAACCAACCTGAACAAGAGCGAGACCCTGTCTCTACTATAAATAGAAAGAAATTAATTGGCCAACTAATATATATAGAAAACTTAGCCAGACATGGTGGTGCATGCCTGTAGTCCCAGCCACTCGGGAGGCTGAGGCAGGAGGATCACTTGAGCCCAGGAGTCTGAGGTTGCTGTGAGCTAGGCTGATGCCGCGACACTCACTCTAGCCTGGGCAACAAAGTGAGACTCTGTCTCAAAAAAAAAAAAAAAATTGGAAGCAACAGAACCCTCAAATTCCCCTTATTAGGACTTGGCCTTGCAGACCCCCTGCTGAGAAGGGTGATGGAGGTTTTTAAAGGCTTTATAAAGATCTTTTCCAAAGAGATTCTGCATTTGTATATTTCTATGAGAGTTAAACACTCCCATCAAGCAAACTGCTCACCCTGCATCTCTGTCCACAGCGGGATCAGGGTCTATGCAGGGGCCACAGACTCCTCAGTCAACCAGCAGTTCCATGGCAGAAGGAGGAGACTTGAAGCCACCAACTCCAGCATCCACACCACATAGTCAGATCCCCCCCTTGCCAGGCATGAGGTAAGGCCAGGAGCAGGGGCAGGGGCAGGTGGTTTGGGGGACCCTGGGGCTAAGTGCATTAGAACTCCTATGGAGTCCAAGGGTAGTCCTTGCTGCTGTCTGCCCAGTCAGTGACTCTTGTGTGGCCTGTGTTATATCAAAGGAATTAGTCTGTTTGGGGCTTAATTGGTTTTCCTCACTCTGGAGCAGGAGCAATTCAGTTGGGATCCAGGATGCCTTTCCTGACGGAAGTGACTCCACATTCCAGAAGCGGAATTCCATGACTCCAAACCCTGGGTACCAGCCCAGTATGAATACCTCTGACATGATGGGGCGCATGTCCTACGAGCCAAATAAGGATCCTTATGGCAGCATGAGGAAAGGTGACCAACTGCTGTTGACCTTATTCCCTTGAAGACAAGGCCAGGGAAATAGGGGGATATCTGGAGAGTAGCTCAGAGTTCTTGTGGCACCATCCTCTGAAATGAAGTATTTCCTGATTTAACTACCTGACCTACCCACTCCTCGTCATCCCTGCCTCCTTTCTTATCTCCCTCTCCTTGGCCTCACCTTGTCACTCCTTAACAAGAACATGCTGTTTTACTGGTTGGGGCTTCTTCAGATCTATTTTAAACCTCTCAGGAAAACAGTGAAATCAAACCCATTACTCTGAAGGGGGCCTAGGTCTTTGGAGCAGGCAAGGTGTAGATTGCTAGGCCTGCTGACCTACCAGTTTGCTCACAGCCTGCTTTTCTGCACTCAGCTCCAGGGGGTGATCCCTTCATGTCCTCAGGGCAGGGCCCCAACGGCGGGATGGGTGACCCTTACAGCCGTGCTGCCGGCCCTGGGCTGGGAAATGTGGCGATGGGACCACGACAGCACTATCCCTACGGAGGTCCTTATGACAGAGTGAGGTAAGCACGACCCCTGCTCCTGTCCATCCACCGCACCCCACGGCTATAGCGCACTCAGTCTGCCTCCCCAATTTTCTTTAGGACGGAGCCTGGAATAGGGCCCGAGGGAAACATGGGCACTGGGGCCCCACAGCCGAATCTCATGCCTTCCAACCCAGACTCGGGGATGTATTCTCCTAGCCGCTACCCCCCGCAGCAGCAGCAGCAGCAGCAGCAGCAGCAGCAGCAGCAGCAGCAGCAGCAACGGTGAGTAAACCTGGTCTCTGTGCTGCTGTCGTTCAGCTTTGCCGTTTCCCACCCTGATCCTCTGTTTCTCTCCATCCTATAGACATGATTCCTATGGCAATCAGTTCTCCACCCAAGGCACCCCTTCCGGCAGCCCCTTTCCCAGCCAGCAGACCACAATGTATCAGCAGCAGCAGCAGGTGAGGAGGGTAGCTGGGAATGAACTGGTGTGCAGATTCCCCTTGAAAGCTAGTTAATAAACTAAATCTAATGTGCTGAAGTCTAAGAAGTTCACTTTAGATGTATTGGTGTTCTTCTCTCACCCAACTATCTTGAAGAGCCAAATCCTCAGTCTCTTGCCTGTGTAGAGTCCAGTCTCCCTACTTCTCCACAAGTGCTAGAAATAGACCTTATTTTTATTTTTGAGGTTTTGTACATTTTTCTGCTTTAAAGCAAGGGAGAGCCAGAGAGAAAGAGAATGATGCAAAAATAACTGCAAAAGATAATTTGTAAAGGTGAATCCTTGGAGTCTATCCTCTCTTTTAAGAGGGGCAGAAGTAAACCAAGCAAGTTTCTGGTGTAGCCGTCTTGGCATCTGTGTACTTTGTGTCCCTGAGTGCAGAGTATTAACTTCACCTCTGTTTGTCTTTCTTAGAATTACAAGCGGCCAATGGATGGCGCATATGGCCCTCCTGCCAAGCGGCACGAAGGGGACATGTACAGCGTGCCGTACAGCACTGGGCAGGGGCAGCAGCAGCAGCAGCAGCTGCCCCCAGCCCAGCCCCAGCCTGCCAGCCAGCAACAAGCTGCCCAGCCTTCCCCTCAGCAAGATGTATACAACCAGTATGGCAATGCCTATCCTGCCACTGCCACCGCTGCTACTGAGCGCCGACCAACAGGCGGCCCCCAGAACCAATTTCCATTCCAATTTGGCCGAGACCGTCTATCTGTACCCCCTGGCTCCAGTGCCCAGCAGAACATGCCACCACAAATGATGGGCGGCCCCATACAGGCTTCAGCTGAGGTTTCTCAGCAAGGCACCATGTGGCAGGGGCGTAATGACATGACCTATAATTATGCCAACAGGCAGAGCACGGGCTCTGCCCCCCAGGGCCCTGCCTATCATGGTGTGAACCGAACAGATGAAATGCTGCACACGGATCAGAGGGCCAACCATGAAGGCCCGTGGCCTTCCCATGGCACACGCCAACCTCCATATGGTCCCTCTGCCCCAGTACCCCCCATGACAAGGCCCCCTCCATCTAACTACCAGCCCCCGCCAAGCATGCAGAATCACATTCCTCAGGTATCCAGCCCCGCTCCCCTGCCCCGGCCAATGGAGAACCGTACCTCTCCTAGCAAGTCTCCATTCCTACACTCTGGGATGAAAATGCAGAAGGCAGGTCCCCCAGTACCTGCCTCGCACATAGCACCTGCCCCTGTGCAGCCCCCCATGATTCGACGGGATATCACCTTCCCACCTGGCTCTGTTGAAGCCACACAGCCTGTGTTGAAGCAGAGGAGGCGGCTCACAATGAAAGACATTGGTAAGGAGACCTCCCTAATTGGGTTGCCTAATCTGCCCCTTTCCATCCTGTCCATTGTTCCCTCCATTTCATATTCTGGATTAGGTTAAATCTGGTCCAGTGTTGAAAGGACTTTGGGTAAGGAAGAAATAAGCTGATTTCAGGTTTTCCTTCAAAGCATTGTCATGCAGTAATCTCTTAGACAGCTGAAGAAGCCAAGAGGGGCAGATGTGTGTCATCTCCCAGATAGGAACTGCCTTCCACCTTGTGTTATCTTCAGAGTAGCCTGTCTGATGGGGCAGCCGTGGGGGTGCCTCCAGCCAACCAGGGCTTGGTGGATGGACGACATGGAGGTTTATTTCAGGAACCCCGGAGGCATGGCGAGTAATGATGTCCCTCAAGTCTGGGCTCCTGGCTGAGAGCACGTGGGCATTAGACACCATTAACATCCTGCTATATGATGACAACAGCATCATGACCTTCAACCTCAGTCAGGTGAGTACAGGTGGCTCGGTAAGATTGAGAGGGCCTGGAATCTTCTTAACATAAGACAGTAGTAGGCAGGGTGCAGTGGCTTGCACCTGTAATCCTAGCACTCTGGGAGGCTGAGGCAGGAGGATCACTTGAGCTCAGGAGTGCAAGACCAGCCTGAGCAAGACCCCATTTCTACTTAAAAAAGAAAAAATTAGCTGGGTGTGGTGGTGCACGCCTGTAGTCCCAGATACTTGGGACGCTAAGGCATGAGGATGGCTTGAACCCAGGAGTTTAAAGTTGCAGTGAGCTATGATGATGCCATTGTACTCTAGCCTGGGAGACAGAGCAAGACTCTGTCTCAAAAAAAAAAGAGAAACAGTAGTAAGTGACACTGAGAATGAAGCCATTCCTAGTTACCATGTTCCTGTCTCTCTCTCTTATCTTCCATGCCAGTACTTTGTTTTTCTTCTCTTGCCACTGGGCATGGACCCAGGATATTGAGAGCAGTAATAATTTTTGTAAGGTATCATGTTGATAACAGTAATGAATTCAAAGAGAATTTGGGAGACACTTTTTGGTATTGTTAATAAATGCAGATTCTGGGCCAGACACGGTGGCTCACGCCTGTAATCCTAGCACTTTGGGAGGCCGAGGTAGGAGGATTGCTTGAGCTCAGGAGTTGGAGACCAGCCAGAGCAAGAGCGAGACCCCATCTCTACTATAAGTAGAAAAAATTAGCCAGGTACGGTGGCACATGACTGTAGTCCTAGCTACTCGGGAGGCTGAGGCAGGAGGATCCTTTGAGCCCGGGAGTTTGAGGTTGCTGTGAGCTAGGCTGACACCACGGCATTCTAGCCCAGGCAACAGAGTGAGACTCTATCTCAAAATAAATAAATAAAAATAAATGCAGATTCTGGTCAAGTGAGGGGGCTCATGTGTATAATCTCAACACTTTCGGAGGCTTAGGCAGGAGGATCGCTTGATCCTCAGGAGTTTGAGGCTGCAGTGAGCTGTGATTATGCCACTGGACTCCAGCCTGGGTGACAGAATGAGACTCTGTCTCCCAAAAAAAACAAGTACAGATTCTATCGATGGGAATGTGAGGATGCCTTATTTTCTAGACTACCAAGAACAACCTGTGGTCTTTTTTTATTGTTAGTAAATAGAGCAATTTTTTCCGTTTTTCCCTTTCTTCTTTTACTCTGAATAGAAGGGGTCTTTGTTGATCCCAGATTCCTTAGGTGTAAAATGGGTGGGAGGTTTGTTTAGTAATAATCTTTTTTTTTTAATGTTATAATTTTTTATTTTTATAATCATATATATTGTAAAGAACTTAAGAGAAAAAAGTTATCTCTTACATTCATCTGGATATTTATCATTTCTGTTGCTATCGGTAATATTCTTGCAAAGCTGATTCTCTAGACCCACCCCGCACAGGATGTACACTTTGCATTTTCCTAGTAGCTAGGAAGAGTTTGTGCTATACCATCCTACTCTTTCTTTTGATCAGTGTTAGTACCTACCAACTCATCTATCAAGGAACTGACTAGGAGGACATTGTTAGGTAGTAGTTACCATTCTTTGTGGCAGGTCCTTAAATTTTTGTTTCATGTCATCCCTATAATAACCCTGAGAGACAGGATATGTAGCCATTTAGAGATGTCAAAGTCTTATCATTGCCCAGGTACACACAACTGTCAGCAGGATCTATCTGATTCCAAAGCCTGATTTTATTTCCATTGCAAAATGTTGCTTCCCATGAGAAAGGAAAGGAACAAATTTTGATTGAGCAATTTCCACATGCCAAGCATTTGACATATTCCATTTAGACCTCAGACAACCCTGTAAAGTTTAGGGATTTCCATCATTTCATACAGCTAGTTCCTGGAAAAGCCAGATTTCAAACCTAGATCTAATTCTATAGTCCTTATTTTTTGCCATTTTGCTGTATTGTTCAACCAAAGATTAATCTGACTGGAAAGTAATATTTCCTTCTAGAGGTTAATAAATAGCTTATATAGTAATCCATGCTGGAAATTGGGTTTCCTTAATACCAGTTTAGGCCAGTGTTTGAAGAGCTGAAGCCTCATTCCACTCATTATAGTGCAAGATTCATGGAAGTCCAGCCTCTTGGAATGTTGGGGAGATTGGAGAAGGGAGCAGATGAACATCTGCCTGCATCACATTCTCTCCCCTAAACTTATGTTGAGTCATCCCACCATCCCTAGGCTTCGGCTCCACTAGACAGTGGGACGTAGAGTGTTCTAAGAGAGATAATGGCAATGACCACCTGGTAGGAAACTGGCCTGGTGTGAAGGAAAGCAGATTGGTTGAGGCTGGGCATGGTGGCTCATGCCTGTAATCCTAGCACTCTGGGAGGCTGAGGTGGGAGGATCGCTCAAGGTCAGGAGTTCAAAACCAGCTTGAGCAAGAGCGAGACCCCGTCTCTACTATAAATAGAAAGAAATTAATTGGCCAACTATAATTTAAAAAAAAAAGATTGGTTGGGAAAGAGGAGACTGAGAGATGGGTGGAACTGGTGGGTGAGGTACAAAGCTGTTGGCTAGTGTAGGCAGGCTTAGTGAAGGTAGGTTGGGCAGAAGGAAGAACTTTATGTTGGGCATAGGAGAAATTAAGGTAAACAGTTTTCCCTCTGGAGAACCTTTGGGAAAAGAACAACTGTGCCTTTCATTGAGTGATACAGATATCTGTCCTAGAAGGCAACTAAGGGTAATTAAACAGAAGACTTTGGGGCTCTCAAGTCGAGGATTCCCTTCTTTGATCACTTTTCTTCCTTAATTTATTTTCTGTTCTTTCTCTTTTTAGCTCCCAGGGTTGCTAGAGCTCCTTGTGGAATATTTCCGACGATGCCTGATCGAGATCTTTGGCATTTTAAAGGAGTATGAGGTGGGTGACCCAGGACAGAGAACACTACTGGACCCTGTGAGATTCAGCAAGGTGTCTAGTCCAGCCCCCATGGAAGGGGAAGAAGACGAAGAACTTCTAGGTCCCAAACTTGAGGAGGAAGAAGAGGAAGTAGTTGAAAATGATGAGGAGATGGCCTTTTCGGGCAAGGACAAACCAGCTTCAGAGAGTAGTGAGGAGAAGCTGATCAGTAAGTTTGATAAGCTTCCAGTAAAGATCGTACAGAAGAATGACCCATTTGTTGTGGACTGCTCAGATAAGCTTGGGCGTGTGCAAGAGTTTGACAGTGGTCTGCTGCATTGGCGGATTGGTGGGGGGGACACGACTGAGCATATTCAGACCCACTTTGAGAGCAGGAAAGAGCTGCTGTCTTCCAGGCCTCATGCACCCTGTCCACCAGCTCCCCGGAAACATGTCACGACAGCAGAGGGTATGCCAGGGACAACAGAACAGGAGGGGCCTCCGCCTGATGGCCCTCCAGAAAAACGGATCACAGCCACTATGGATGACATGTTGTCTACCCGGTCTAGCACATTGACCGAGGAGGGAGCTAAGACTACAGAGGCCACCAAGGAGAGCAGTAAGTTTCCATTTGGCATTAGCCCAGCGCAGAGCCACCGGAACATCAAGATCCTAGAGGATGAACCCCACAGTAAAGATGAGACCCCACTGTGTACTCTTCTGGACTGGCAGGATTCCCTTGCCAAGCGCTGTGTCTGTGTCTCTAATACCATCCGAAGCCTGTCATTTGTGCCAGGCAACGACTTTGAGATGTCCAAACACCCAGGGCTGCTGCTCATCCTAGGGAAGCTGATCCTGCTGCACCACAAGCACCCAGAACGGAAGCAGGCACCACTAACTTATGAGAAGGAGGAGGAACAGGACCAAGGGGTGAGCTGCAACAAAGTGGAGTGGTGGTGGGACTGCTTGGAGATGCTCCGGGAAAACACCTTGGTCACACTCGCCAACATCTCAGGGCAGTTGGACCTCTCCCCATACCCTGAGAGCATTTGCCTGCCTGTCCTGGACGGACTCCTACACTGGGCAGTTTGCCCTTCAGCTGAAGCCCAGGACCCCTTCTCCACCCTGGGCCCCAACGCCGTCCTCTCCCCCCAGAGACTAGTCTTGGAAACCCTTAGCAAACTCAGCATCCAGGACAACAATGTGGACCTGATCCTGGCCACACCCCCCTTCAGCCGCCTGGAGAAGTTATATAGCACCATGGTGCGCTTCCTCAGTGACCGAAAGAACCCAGTGTGCCGGGAGATGGCCGTGGTACTGCTGGCCAACCTGGCGCAGGGGGACAGCCTGGCAGCCCGTGCCATTGCAGTACAGAAGGGCAGCATCGGCAACCTCCTGGGCTTCCTAGAGGACAGCCTCGCTGCCACGCAGTTCCAGCAGAGCCAGGCTGGCCTCCTCCACATGCAGAACCCACCCTTTGAGCCAACTAGTGTGGACATGATGCGTCGGGCTGCCCGCGCGCTGCTTGCCCTGGCCAAGGTGGATGAGAACCACTCAGAGTTTACTCTGTACGAGTCACGGCTGTTGGACATCTCGGTATCACCATTGATGAACTCATTGGTTTCACAAGTCATTTGTGATGTACTGTTTTTGATTGGCCAGTCATGACAGCCGTGGGACATCTCCCCCCCTGTGTGTGTGTGCGTGTGTGGAGAACTTAGAAACTGACTGTTGCCCTTTATTTATGCAAAACCACCTCAGAATCCAGTTTACCCTGTGCTGTCCAGCTTCTCCCTTGGGAAAAAAGTCTCTCCTGTTTCTCTTTCCTCCTTCCAACCCCTCCCCACCTCACACCTTTCTGTTCCTTGTCCTCACCTTACTCCCCTCAGGACCCCACCCTATTTGAAAAGACAAAGGTCTGCCTACATAGAAGACTTTTTTATTTTAACCAAAGTTACTGTTGTTTACAGTGAGTTTGGGGAAAAAAATAAAATAAAAATGGCTTTCCCGGTCCTTGCATCAACGGGACGCCACATTTCATAACTGTTTTTAATGGTAAAAAAAAAAAAAGGAAAAAATACAAAAAAAAACTCTGAAGGACAAAAAAGGTGACTGCTGAACTGTGTGTGGTTTATTGTTGTACATTCACAATCCTGCAGGAGCCGAGAAGTTCGCAGTTTTGAACAGACCTTGTTCACTGGAGAGGCCTGTGCAGTAGAGTGTAGACCCTTTCATGTACTGTACTGTACACCTGATACTGTAAACATACTGTAATAATAATGTCTCACATGGAAACAAGAGAAACGCTGGGTCAGCAGCAAGCTGTAGTTTTTAAAAATGTTTTTAGTTAAACGTTGAGGAGAAAAAAAAAAAGGCTTTTCCCCCAAAGTATCATGTGTGAACCTACAACACCCTGACCTCTTTCTCTCCTCCTTGATTGTATGAATAACCCTGAGATCACCTCTTAGAACTGGTTTTAACCTTTAGCTGCAGCGGCTGCGCTGCCACGTGTGTATATATATGACGTTGTACATTGCACATACCCTCGAATCCCCACAGTTTGGTCCCCTTCCCAGCTACCCCTTTATAGTATGACGAGTTAACAAGTTGGTGACCTGCACAAAGCGAGACACAGCTATTTAATCTCTTGCCAGACATCGCCCCTCTTGGTGCGATGCTGTACAGGTCTCTGTAAAAAGTCCTTGCTGTCTCAACAGCCAATCAACTTATAGTTTATTTTTTCTGGGTTTTTGTTTTGTTTTCTTTCTAATCGAGGTGTGAAAAAGTTCTAGGTTCAGTTGAAGTTCTGATGAAGAAACACAATTGAGATTTTTTCAGTGATAAAATCTGCATATTTGTATTTCAACAATGTAGCTAAAACTTGATGTAAATTCCTCCTTTTTTTCCTTTTTTGGCTTAATGAATATCATTTATTCAGTATGAAATCTTTATACTATATGTTCCACGTGTTAAGAATAAATGTACATTAAATCTTGGTAAGACTTTTGTGAGGCTTTTTATTTTCAAACTATTTAAAACTTTGACTTTTTGGGGGGAGTTGGGGGGGCAGTTGGGAGAGGTTAGTCCTGTTCTTGCAAACCTCCTATATTGTGCTCTCTCCCCTAAATGGTGGCTTTTTGGACCTTTTATTTCTTTACTGTATTCTACTTTAACCTCTACAGCTGCAGCCCCAACTCCTGGGCTGTGGCCTGTTAGGAACCGGCTGTGCATCACCACCTGAGCTCTGCCTCCCTGTGCCCCCCTACCTGTCCATGGAAAAATCATCTTCCATGAAACTCAGGAACCAGGCCACCCAGCAGGAGGTGAGTGGCCAAGGAAGGAGAGAAGCTTCATCTGTATTTACAGCTCACTCTCTGTCCCCCATCCCCATACACACACATACCCAGACCGTGGAAAAATTGTCTTCCATGAAACCGGTCCCTGGTGCCAAAAAGGTTGGGGACTGCTGCTCTACAGTGTACATCTTAAAAAGCCCTGAGAAGATCTAGCCTGCAAGAGGAAGTTCTGGGCATAAAAAGCATGTTACCACTTGAAATAAAGTGAGTTAAAATAACAAAGGAATTGATGATAATCTAGAAAAAATGTTCAGAAATAGTTGGTAAAAAGATCTCTGTTTTCTTTTTTTTTTTTTTTTTTTTTTTAAGAGTCAAGATCTTCTCTCTGGGAGGCTGAGGCGGGCGGATTGCTCGAGGTCAGGAGTTCGAAACCAGCCTGAGCAAGAGTGAGACCCCGTCTCTACTATAAATAGAAAGAAATTAATTGGCCAACTAATATATATATATAAAATTAGCTGGGCATGGTGGTGCATGCCTGTAGTCCCAGCTACTCGGGAGGCTGAGGCAGAAGGATTGCTTGAGCCCAGGAGATTGAGGTTGCTGTGAGCTAGGCTGACGCCAAGGCACTCACTCTAGCCTGGTCAACAAGCGAGACTCTGTCTCAAAAAAAAAAAAAAAAAAAAGAGTCAAGATCTTGCTGTGTCACTCAGGCTGGAGTGCAGTGGCATGATCATAGCTCATTGCAGCTTCAAACTCCTGGGTATCCAGACACCCTCAAACCTTAACCTCCCAAAGTGCAAGGATTACAGGCATTAGCCACTGTGCCCAGCCCTAGCTAGAAATTTTTAACAATGAGAGGCTGCCTCCATTTATCTGGAGGTAGCCTCCAACTTAATCACATACATCTCCAGATTGGCTCTTTTCCCTGACTCCAGACTAGAATTCAGCTGTCTTCTTGCCATCTCTGCTTAGAAGTTTAATTTGAACGTGCTCAAGCTAAGAGAGCCCTGTCTTTCCCTCTGGAAACTTGCTTCTCCCATAGGTTTTGTTGTAAATGGCAACTCCATACTTCTGTTACTTGGCCAAGAAAATCATTCATTTCCACATCCAGTCTGTTAGTACTATTGAGAAAATAATCCTCAATCCAGTCACTACCGCCATAGTTCAAAATACTTTCTATCTTGGACTCTTGAAATACCTCCAAACTGACCTCCCTGCTTCTGCTTTGCCTGGTTGAAAGTATTCTCAACATAGCAACCAAATGATCCCTATAAAACGTTAAGTCAGACCAAACTCCGTCAGTGTTTCTCACTCAGTAAGCAGAAGTCCAGATCCTTATAATGGCCTACAAGGCCCTCAGTTACCTCATCGCCACCTTTCTGGCACCATCTTCTCTCTTTCCCATTCCTCGCTCTGCAGGGCTGTAGACCTTGGAGTCTTTGTACTTTCTGTTCCTTCTGCCTGGAACATTCATCAGATATCTGCGTGACTCAAATCCTCATCTCCTTCAGGGCTTTGTTCAAATGTCACACAAGTGAGGCTTTCCCTGGCCAGAGACTATTTATTTAAAATAGTCTCTGCTCCCCTGCCTCATTGCCCTTCTGTAACTTGTTTCTCTTACAGCACTTGTTACCATCCAGCCTATTGTATATTGTACTTACTTACCTGTCATCTTCCACTGGAATGTCAAACCTGGGGAGGGGCGTGTATTATTCACTGCTACGTCCCTGTCCTAACACACAGCCTGGCACGTAGTACCTACTCAAGTAGCTCTTGAATGAAATAGTAGATGTTGGTCAGATGGAGTTGCTTTTATGAGGTAGGTTAATGTCATAATATATAGCTTCTATGTTCATCTTCCTTAGGGAAACAATGAAGAAACCTCAAGTTCAGGTTTCTCAGGAGAAATCAGAAGCAGTAACAGAAAATGTTGTTATTGTGGACACTAAGAAGTGAAACTTGAAACAACAGTTTTCTATTGAGTACCTATTTGTATGTTGGACATAGTACATCATGAATAATCCTACAACACTCCCGTACCTGTGAGGTTAGGATTCTGGCTCCTGTTTTACAGTTTGGGAAAGTGGCTGAGAAAAGTCAAAGGCTTGTCTAAGTTCATACACCAAGCAAGATTCACCTGGCTCCAAGGCCCATGCGCTTCCTAACACACCACAGTGTACCTCCTCTCTGGATGAGAGGACAACAGGGGTAACTGGACCAGCTGTGGAGCCCAGCAAGCAAGATTTGTTTTTACTGTATTTAACATGAGGTAAAATTGTCCTAAGAATTTCAATCAGGTGTTCATCAAAGTGTGGCTGTTAATATTTGCATCAGGGATAGAAATGAATAATTAGTATTTCTCTACTGAGAGAAAAAAACCTTTGCCAACCAAGATGCCTTCCTAGGACTCATCTGGAAAAAACTAAATGGCAAGCTTTTCATATCTACATTTTGGTAAGCAATATTGCTAATGGCTATTATTGCCCTGGGCCTCTTGAGCTCCATTTTCTAGTCTAGAAAGTGCATTTCTGGGCTGTGTGTGGAGCATTACCTAGGAGTTCGGTTTCCTGGGTTCCTTTTATTTGCTCTCCTGCAATGCAGGGGGCGCCTAGCCTGGTCTCCGGTTTCTGCCTGGAGTTACCATGGGCCAAGGGAACTGCTAGCCACTGAGCTGTAAGTAATTTGCTTTTGAGAAGTAAATAGAACCTCGCCAGCAGAGAACCCAGGGGTGTGGCCAGTAGTTCTTTTCCCAGGCTCCTCCCTCCCCCCCAATGACCTTAACCTTCTTTCACAGCTGGAGAGCAGCCAAGTCCAGCCTAAACAATACCCTCAACCTCATTGGCTCTTTTGCCTTGCAGCCACTGCCACCCACAAATGGCTAAGGCCTTCCCACTAGGCCTCTCAGTGGGGTCAAGGTTTTCTAACTACTAAAAGGCAAACACTGGAGGAAGGGTGAAAATTATCTAGTGTCCATGGGCTTTAAAGGATCAGTGTTGGGCTCCTGCAATTGGAGGTAGGGCAGGGTCTTTGTCCTAGGGTGGATGGACATCTTCAAGCAATCCTGTAAAGGCCAAAAAGGATGCTTTTGGTAAATGTCTGAGACCTGGTGTCACCCCTGGTGTTAGGATGGATGTATCTGTCACCCAGCATCCTAGGAAACTGCCAAGGGGTGCTCTTTTATCCACAACAAAAAGAGGTAAAGTTTTGGTAAGGCACAGCTGCCTGTCATCACAGGCATTAGCCCTGCCTGTTAATAGTTGATAGTAACAGAGGGCACAGTGGCACAAGCCTGTTGTCCTAGCTACTCAGGAAGCTGAGGCAGGAGGGTCACTCAAGGCTGGGAGTTTTAAGCTGTCGTGTGCTATGACAGCCCCTGTGAATAGCCACTGCATTCTAGCCTGGGCAACATAGACCCCATCTCTAAAGAAATAAATTTAAAAATAAAAATAATAGCCGGACGCGGTGGTGCGCGCCTGTAGTCCCAGCTACTCGGGAGGCTGAGATGGGAGGATGGCTTGAGCCCAGGAGTTCTGGGCTGTAGTGCGCTATGCCGATCGGGTGTCCGCACTAAGTTCGGCATCAATATGGTGACCTCCCGGGAGCGGGGGACCACCAGGTTGCCTAAGGAGGGGTGAACCTGCCCAGGTCGGAAACGGAGCAGGTCAAAACTCCCGTGCTGATCAGTAGTGGGATCGCGGCTGTGAATAGCCACTGCACTCCAGCCTGGGCAACATAGCGAGACCCCGTCTCTAAAAAAAAATAATAATAATAATAATAATAATTTGGGCTCAGTGGCTCCCGTTGGTTTTCCCAGCTATTCTGGAGGCTGAAGTGGGAGGATAACGTGAGTCCAGGACTTCAAGGCCAGTCTGGGCAACATAAACAACAGGTAAATATTTGACTCCGCTGAGCGAGAACATTAAAAAAATAGTTAACCGTGACAGGAATAAGAGGCCAGTGTAGTCACTTTTGCCCCACAATGGCATGGCCTCAGAGCCAACATCCCCAATAGGGTCAGCTATTCCAATCCCATAGGATTGGGGCCATGGAAAGTTGAGTGTCTGGAAACTGAGCTGCTGAGAGTAGATATACCCTGTCCTAGGCTGTCCCTCTGCCCAGCCTGGGGCCAAGGCCACCTATAGATGTGGAGGCAGGTCAAGGCAAGGCAGCTACAGAGAGAAATGAGTAGTCAGTTGCTCGACGGAGGTGAGTATTCCACGAAAACTACCTAACTTCCTTCTCTACACCTTCAGTGGGAAAATCGCTTGCTCTTTTTTGTTTAGTGAGTTACAGCAGCCCATCTTTATTGAGTACTTTATGCCAAGCACTATAATTCATATGAGGCGGATATTATTATCATCTCCGTGAAGGCAGGCACTGTGTCTATCTGGCTCATTGTCGCATCCTCATCCCTTCATAGTAGGCACTCCTATATTATTGAATAAATCAAACAAGTAAGATAGGAATTAGGTGGAGGAAAGAGTAAGCAGGAGCTGCTAAGACTTGGTGTGCCCTATATAGGATTCTTAACATAGCCTGCAAAGACTCTTAGACATGTGGAAAAAAGGAAAAGAGGGAAAGAGGTAAACCTGTGAAAGATCAAAACAGTGTGGAGCGGTAGTAAGAACCAGCCAGGGAGGCTAGAGCTCTGAACTCAAGTTCTAGCTCTGCCACTAGCTGTGTGATTTCAGGCCAGTCACTTTCCCTTTGTGATCCTTAGTTCCCTCATACGTAAAATATAGGTATCAGATTAAACAAATTGATTTAGCCTGTCAGATCTTCATTGAAGACACATAGTATCCAAGGCACTGTTCTAAGCATGGGGAATACACTGGTGAACAGAGCCCCTGCTCTTCCATTACATTCAGAAACTTACATTCCATTGGAGGGAAACAGACATTGAATCGAGTAATATGCCCCAACAGGACAGATGATGTTAAGTGCTATGAAGAAAACAGAACAGAGTGATGGCATAGTACAGGGCAGTGGTGTGGCTGCGTAGTCAGGGAGAGCCTCTCTCAGAAGGCGACATCTCTGATGAGACCCAAATATAGTGGGCTGGCCAACGGGTAGTGTCTGGTGGAAACGTGTTTCAAGCAGAGCAAATGGAAAATAGCAAGCACAGAGATAGGCAAATTCAAGGAATAGAAGTGATGTAACTCTCTTAAATCTAAGATTCTAGAAATAGTAATGCATTGCTTGCATTGTTTAGGTTAGGGATTTGTATATGAAATTGTTTCTTGGTGGTGTGGGATATTTGCTTCTTAATAAAAGTGGCTATGAGGTGTGGAGCCTTTCTGGAGCTCTGAGATATGGCTGTGTCTTACTTGCTTTCCACAATTCTGGTAGCTCAGCTGGCTCTCTGTAGACGCAGGCTCCATTTTAGCTGCAGACTCTACAAGCAGACTGGAGAGAGCTGCCTCCTGCACTCCTCTCAGCCGTAGAGCCCCAGAACCCCCTCCCATCCCACCTAGCCTTCTTCCAAACTCATGAGCCAGGGAGCCAGGGCTTTGAGAGCACAAGATTCAGCTTCCTTGTTTTCCTGTCAGCTCAGGAGCCAGAAAATGAAACAGGAAACAGAGCGGAAGAGGAGGGGGTTGGGTAGCAGAGAAGGAAAGGAAGGAGAAATAGCAGGAAAGTAGACCTGAAGATCTGGACAAAGTTCTACCTTCACGGGGTTAGAGTTGAGCTTTTAGAAAACATTCTGACTTGCCACAAGAGACCCCTGGCCCTTTTGCAAATAGATTTTTGAGGGAATCTGGTGCGGACAGGGGGAACCCTAGAATGTATGTCTTTTTGCCCTTTGAATTTACAGAGCAAGGACAGTTCATTCTTCAGTTTGTCTTTGCAGAGTGCTGCCTGGAGCCTCACAGAAGACTTCTAGAGATTCAAGTCACAACCTCAGGCCCCAGTCACAAGTGTGCCCGAGGCTTTGCCATTTCACTCACAGGCCTCTGGCCTGAGAACAAGTGTGAGTCACTGAAAATTCTGGGGGAAGAACCTTTTAAACTGCATTTTCTCCCCTTTTCCAACACAGGACCAAATGTGATTTGTACTTTATTCACCTTACACACAAATATCTGAGGGCAGTTTAGGTCTCAGGGGTGAAATGCGTTATAAAGAATCAAAAGATACAGTCCCAGGCCCCCACAAAACTGATGTGGGCTAGTCTTTGCCTGGAGAGGTAGCAGTCATCTCTTTGTTCCCACCCACATCAGTAGCTGTTGCAAAAGATAAACCCCTTCCTCAGTCAGGGCTGGGGCCAGAGGCTAACCCAGACCCTGGCTTGGTTTGCAGAGCAGATAACTGAAACCACAGAAGGCTTTGGAATCCTGAGAAACAAGAAATCCACCAACGGAAAAGGATTTATTATCTGTTTCCTTTAAGGAAGGTGCAAAGTTGTTCTAACAGTTTCCGTTACAGGGGTACCAACTGGCCACTCCCCCCAATAGACGGTTTTGTTGAGTTTGCTTCTTTTTTGGCCCCACTTCCTATAAGAGAAGCTGCTTGAGTGAGGGAGGTGAAAGGAGTCCTGGGGATATTCTGAGGTTTTCCTCACCATCCTTGTTAGCCACTGAGGTGGGGCTGAGGACTGAAGTGGGACAGAAGGTCCCTGGTAGCCAGGGGAGGGGAAAATCAGGGGGATCCCCTACTTTCTGCATCACCCAGGATGCAGGGTGCCACTGCTGGCCACAGAAACCCCAAGAACACTTTTCTTTGACTATTCAGAGAACATCTATTGTGTGCCAGACGCACTGCTAAGCCGTTGTTGCCTCACAGCAGGAAAAGTGCGGCTCTGGCTTCTGTGAAGAGGCCGCGCGCGCGGTTCAGCCCCCAACCAAGAGAGCCTTGGCCCACATTGGGGACTCGGTGAATGTCTAGGGCATGGAACTGGAGCAAGAGCACCAATTCTGAGACAGCTGCCGCAGCGCGCTAACTGAAGTCGGGAGCAGGGGGCGGGGGTTGGAGGAGGACGAAGTGCAAGAAAACTCTTCAGGTGTCATCAAGGTGGGAAAGTGCTACGCGCCGAGGCGCGGAAACCCGGTCCCCACCCTGCACACCCGGAGTCAACATGGCCGCTGCATAGGGAGGCGGGGCGGCTCTGAGTCCGGGCAGGAGGGGGGCGGGGCCGCCGTCGGCGGAGCCAGCGCGCAGGCGCGGGCCGCATGGGTCCCGGATGGAGGAGCCGCGGCTCGGGCTGAGCCGGGGAGATCTTGACCGGCAGGCTCGGAGGACCTGGCGGCAGCTTGGGAGCCCTGGCGTTCTTGGGGGAGGGAAGATGTCAGACGGAGACGGAGAGAAATGAGGCGCAGGCCGCGAAGAAGCAGGGAGCCCCGCCCCTCCGCCATAGCGGCCTCGGGCGCCGCCTCTTCCTTTTCAGCCTCCTACCCTCTCCAGCTTCCGGCGCTGTGGCCTGGCCGGGCTGCGTAGGCTCCCTAGGGAGTAGCCCCGGGCCCTGGCCTGTCTAGGGTGAGGGGTAGATGCCTGGTGCCCTGTGGGGACTGTGTCGGGAAGGAGCCGGCCAGAACGGGCTTCAGACACGGCTGGGCTGACAGAAGGCAGCCCCTGGCCCGGGATGGCCCGCGAGGCCTTTGGCCCTGGGAACACTGGGTCAGAGCGACTTATCCAAAGCACGGAGAATGTTAGGCTTACTCAGAGTCCAGGGCTCCAATTCAGCAGGCCTTCCCAAATATTCAGATAGGGCCCACCTACCCTAAGCATATCCAGCAAGAGCATGCTCTCATTGGAGGAAGCACTGGGCTAGGCGTTGGGAGATCTGGGTCATAATCCTGGCCAGGGAAGAGAGCGTACCCTCGGCCGGGTTGCAGGCTGGTACCATGTTTCAGAAGCAAGAAACATGACACCCTCTTTAAGTAGCGTTGGGTGTGTCACTTGAACCTGGTGAGCCTCAGTTTCCACATCCATAAAATGGCGATGGTAATTATGCTGGCCTCACAGTGTCTAATGAGGTCTCTGGGGCCTATTTATCTCATGGGAAAATAAGAGTGAAACTAGTTGATCCTGAGTGAAGCAAGTGCCCTGCCAGTTGAGAATATGTGATTTAGCAAACGGGTTGTTGGGAAGTGAGGCTGACAATTAGCTGAGAAGGAGAATTGACTAGCTTTGTTTTTACTTGGTTTACCTATAAGCTAACAGTGGGCTACAAATCTTCTGTGGTCGCTGAGGTTAGAGCTTGACTCTGGAGAGAGGAAAGGAAGAATGCAAGCCTGGTCAAGAGGCAGAGGTGGGTTAAGTGATTTTCTTTTCCCAACGTCTCTTCTGCATGTGGGTGGGAAGCCAATGAAGGGAAACGAATTCACCCTAGGGTAGGGAAGGATAGCTATGTAAGTCTGGGTGTGCCTGTGTTCGTCATTTCTTTCGATTCAGCAAGTCATACTTTGGAAATGTTGGGTAGATTCACAAACTACCGCTGCTCTCCGGGGTTTTCAGAAGCTTGCCTTTGAACTGAATTTTCGTGAGCGAACCGGTGTGAAGTTGGCGGCCCCTCCCTTCCTTCGGGCCCCCTGGATATGGAGTAAGCAGCAGGCGCCCCCTTGTGCTGCGGTATGAGTACTGTTGCTGTTGGCCAACTTTGCTCCCTTTCTGGGGAAATTTGATTTTCTTGTGACTTTGTTGTCTTGCTCTTAACATGGGAGGAATACACCTAGAATCAGTGAACTGGTGGTGCTGTATCCTGTCCCTGAGACTTCCATTCATTCAGAACATAGGTGATGTTAAGATGCCTATTTGTATGTTAGGCCCTGGGGATATAGTTGTGATAAATATGACAGGGCAGAGGGCAATAAGAGCATATTATGAAAGCATAGCACATAGTCTAATGAGGATCAGAGAATTATTCCATAATCAAGTGATAACCAACCTAAAGGTTTGATGGGTATTATTAGCCAGATAAGAAAGAAGAGTTTTCCAGCCCTCCTTGTTAACTTTCTCAGTTTAAATATATTTTTCTTGTAGTTCTTCAACCCAAATCGATGAGCTGCCTCTGATGCTTTGCTCTCCTTTCAGATTTCCCAGGCTAGTGTTTGAAAGTTCTGTAGGAGCCGTTGCTACTTCTTTTAGCCCAAGGAGTGGGAAAAAAAAAGTCTTAAAGTGCATTCTTTACCTCAGAATGGCTTTGCAGTTGTTTATACATTGCTGCCATTCCTACAAAGAGATGGAAATAACAGTTCTCTCCATTCCTAGTAGTCAACTCTGTCTTCACCCTAAGTTTGTTTCAGCAATGTGAGCTGGCTGACGTCCTGCTGAGTGGTGGTTTTCTTTTCCTTCTCCACTTAATTTAACAGACCAGCTGAACAAACATCAAAGAGCTAAGCTGAAGTGTGTAGTCATTATGGTCTTCCAGTATGATTTTATGCCCCACTTTTGGGACTATGGTTTGGGACCTAGTTTATTATTCTGGGCAAGAGGAAAAGGGCACACACCAAATAATAGCAGCTACAACATAGATTTGTGTAGTACTTCACACTTTAGTCCATTTCACCATTATGACAATTTTGTAAGATAGGCAAAAAAAAAAAAAGACTGATCTCATTTTTTTGTAAAGAACTGAGTTTCAGAGGGACTAAAGAGAACTTGTAAGTGACGGAGTCAGAACTTGAATCCAGATCTTCAGTGCATAGGAGCACTCAACAGGCTTTTAAAGATTTTCTGTGAGCTTAGCTTTCTTTCCAGCTTCATCTTCCACACAGCTTCATCTGTGTGGAACTTTTCCAACAAGAATACAGTGCTTCAGAGTGACACCTAGTGAAGCCTTCTGCCTTCAAGATTCTTTTCCCTTATCTGGGAAGTTAGGTGATTAAGTTTGCTATGAAGGGGACAGTTCCTATGAAGAATTCCTTCAAGAATTTGCTTTCTACCCATGTATGACATTTTCTTCCTTGGGTTTTAGAGTTTAGAAGCCTGAGGGAGCTCAGTCTGGTAGCAACACCCCTGAATTCCTGGTGATGAGAGGATGTGGCCCCTGGACCCATCCCGGAAGGAGGTGCTGAGGTTTGCAGTCACCTGCCGTGTCCTGACTCTGATGCTGCAGGTGAGTCTATGATCTTTTGTCCTGAATGGGCTGTTGCTACATGACTGGGCTAGGCAGTAAGAATAGTGCCCATCTCCTTTCCACCTCTTGGGTGTGCCCCTCCATGTGATTGGAACCATAGAGACATGGACTGAAAAGTCGTCAGGAATCTTAGAAACAGTGTATTAACCTTTTGTTTTACACATGAAGCAACAGAGCCCCAGAAAGGTTAAATGACTTCCCTAAAGCCACATAGCAAGATAGAGAAGGGCCAGAGTTAGACCACGTATTTCCTAACTCCTGAGCCAGTGGTCTTTCTAACAGACTGTGATGTTCCGTACCTGTAGATACTTTTAGGGCGTGACAGCTCAAAGCATTGCCTTGGGTCCCATTACCAGACTGAGCACTGTGTCAATCAGTTGAGTGGGACAGAAGTGGCATTGTGTAAATCCTGAGATCATCTGTATGTGCTCACTAATCAGTAATGGCTCCTCTTCTTCCCCAGGCACATCCCCTTGCTGCCTCACCCACATACAACCCTAAATGCCTGTGCCTTTTTGCACGTCACTTTGCTTCCCCAAGGCTGCCCTCAATACATATTTTATTAAAATTTCACATATATATGAATGATTTGGTGCCTAGCACAGTGCGCGGTGCTTAGTAGGTCCTCAATGCATATGTTCATAAATAAATGAATGTTGAATGTATGTCAACACTCTGGGGATGTTATATTAACATAATTATGTGTGCCTTTTATCACAGCACCATTCTCTCTCAGGCTAATAGCTGATTCCTTTGCAGAAACCTCCTTTTCTCTCTCCTCCCTGACTATCTGAGGCATAGCAGGCTCTTTTGGGTTCCAGGATTAGTTAAACATGTCCTCAACCTGGAGGCTAGGGCTGTTATCTGTGACTGTCACTGCTGTCCCATTTGTTTTTACTGTTTGAAGTAGCCTGATAAGGAAACTGACCAAAAACGGAAAGAGCCTTAAAAATGAGGCTACGTTCCTGTTGCCAGGCTCGAGAGACTGTGTCAGTGATGGCTCAGCATCAGCTGAGTTATTGACAGAGCCAAAGGAGCAATATTATAAATTGGTATCAGGATAGGTGTCCAGAATAGGTATCTGGGATAACCAGGGCAGTTGGGTTCTAATTCAGGTGGTGATTTTGGAAACAGTATGTTTCCTCTCGGCAGTTCACTCACCCACCAAAAAAATTTTTAAGTACCTATTGTGTTCCAGGAACTGTGCTAGGTGGTGAAAAAGTCATGGTCTCTTTTCCCTTAAGTAGCTGACAATCTATTGGGGCAAAAAGACGTTAACAATAAATGCAGTTTCATTATCCCTCTCTCCCCCATCCCCACTTTAATGCTCAAGCCCTCAGATTATATCCCTAGTTACCATTCATTGTTGCTGTCATTTCTCTGTCAGTGACAGCTATTCCTTGAAGGTTTTAGCTCCAGGTTCACTGTCACTCTTCCCAGCACTACTTCCTTTGATTTTTTTGTGTGTGTGTGTGTGTGATTTCTATATTAAGATTATGCATGCAGTGCCCTGGTCTCTAACTTCCTTGTCCTGCTACTTTCTAGTGATCTTGTCCTCAGCATTCTCATGGTCATATCCTAAACCCCTAACCCCTGTCAAATCTCAATTTTGTGCATCCCATTCTTTGACCACTATCTCCTATCTTTCCAGCTTGCCCTCTCTAGTACCTCAGCTTTAATGATTCTTCCACCCTGCCAGGATTTATAATCCATTGATCCTACCACCGTTTCACTATCCCTCACCCACTGCATGGCTTCAACTCCCCTTCTTACCCAGCTAAGATTCCATGGTCCATCATGGTGATCATCCCCATGTATATACACTCAACTCTCTTGCTCCCTTCTGCCTGTCTTAGTCACAAGACAAAAGCCCAACCTTCATTAAATCCAATTATCTCCCTACTCCTTGCCTGCATCTGCCCAGAGAAAAACACACAACTGTACTAATTAGTCTTTTTTAATTCAAGTTCATTAACCCAAGTGAGTCCTTTGTACTACCTAGCAATCTTTTTTTTTTTTAAGACAGAGTCTCACTTTGTTGCCCAGGCTAGAGTGAGTGCCATGGTGTCAGCCTAGCTCACAGCAACCTCAAACTCCTGGGCTCAAGCAATCCTTCTGTCTCAGCGTCCTGAGTAGCTGGGACTACAGGCATGCGCCACCATGCCCGGTTAATTTTTTCCTTTATATATAATTAGTTGGCCATTAATTTCTTTCTATTTATAGTAGAGACAGGGTCTTGCTCTTGCTCAGGCTAGTTTCAAACTCCTGACCTTGAGCAATCCGTCCGCCTTGGCCTCCCAGAGTGCTAGGATTACAGACGTGAGCCTCTGCGCCTGGCCCTACCTAGCAATCTTAATGTTTTTTCCTAGACCAGTCACCATCCCATTCTCAAAATTTTCTGCACATCAGAATCACCTGGAGAAGTTTTAAAAGAAAATTCCCGATGCCAAGGCTGTCTACCATACCATATAAATCATTAACTCTGGGGGAGAGACCCAGGCATCAGTATTTTTTGAAACCCTCTTGGTGATTCTGGTGCACAGTCTATTTGGAGAACCAGGGTCATAGATGACTTATGTTACATATTTTCCCCAGTACTCAATCTCAGTTGATAACTTGCTTTCCTGAATGAAAACTCAGATAAAAAGAAGGCATTAGCCAGGCGTAGTGGCTCACGCCTATAATCCTAGCTCTCTGGGAGGCCGAGGCAGAAAGATCGCTCAAGGTCAGGAGTTTGAAACTAGCCTGTGCAAGAGCGAGATCCTGTCTCTACTAAAAATAGAAAGAAATTAATTGGCCAACTAAAAATATGTAGAAAAAATTAGCTGGGCGCATGGTGGTGCATGCCTGTAGTCCCAGCTACTGGGGAGGCTGAGGCAGGAGGATCGCTTGAGCCCAGGAGTTTGAGGTTGCTGTGAGCTTAGCTGGTGCCACGGCACTCTAGCCGGGCAACAGAAGTGAGACTGTCTCAAAAAAAAAAGAAGGCATTAGAAGAGACTTTCCACATGTTCCCCCCATATTCATCTGTCTACCTGTCTGCATCTCTATGCCTTCAGTACTGAAGGTTGGATTAACTGTCCTCTTCTCTAAGGTAGCTCCTCCATCTGTGTAGCAGACTCCATCCTCTTCTGCCTGCCCAGCAATCCTCCCCTCTCTCTCCCGCATATTCAGTGGTTTCCTTTTCACTGGATTATTTTCACTAGCATACAAACCTTTATCTCCCACTTTTAAAAAATTTTCCCTTGACTCTACTTTGTTATTTACCTACTACCCAATTTCTCTGCTCCCCTTACAACAAAACTCCTCAAAATCATTGTCTGGCTGTACTGTCTCCAATTTCCCTTCTCCCATTCTATTGAACTCAGTCTAGGCAGGCTTCGCTCTCCACCATTCCACTGAAATAGCTCTTGTCAAAGTCACCAGTGACCTTCACATTGCTAAATCCAGTGGTCAGTTTTCAGTCCCCATCTTACTTGACTTATCTGCAGCATTTAGCAGAGTTGATCACTCCTTTTCTTCACTTGGTCCAAAGATAACATGCTCCTGGCTTTCCCTCTATCTCAATGACTGTGCCTTCTTTATCTTCATTGCTGGATCCTCATCCTCTTTCTAGCCTCTAAATGTTGATACTCAGACCTCATTCTCTTCTTTCCTCTGTTTAGACTTCCTCCCTAGGGGATCTCATTCAGTCTCCTTTAAATACCAGCCATACACTTATAACTCCCAAATTTCTGTTTCCTATCCTGGTCTGTCTTCTGACCCGCAGACTCATTGTAGCTCACTGTGTAGTTGACTTCTACACTAGAGTGTCCAGTTCAAACTTAGCTATACAAAACCAAACTCCTGATTCCCCCACAACAAGTATGTTCTTCCTCATTTTATTAAATGGCAATTCTTTTCTTCCAGTTACTCAATCAAAATCCTCATTTTTCTTTACCCCACAGGCCATCTTCAATGCCATTATCCCAGATCACCATGCCGAAGCCTTCTGTCCTCCTCGACTAGCCCCCTCAGGCTCTGTGGACCAAATTGTGGAAGGTCTTCTAGGTGGCCTGTCTCGTTGGGATGCTGAACACTTCCTGTTCATTGCCGAGCATGGGTACCTGTATGAGCACAACTTTGCCTTCTTTCCTGGTTTCCCCTTGGCCCTGCTGGTGACAGCTGAACTACTGAGACCCTTGCGGGTGTTCCTGAGCCTCCGGAGTTGCCTGCTGATTTCAGTAGCATTGCTCAATTCCTTGTTCTCTGTGCTGGCCGCAGTTGCACTTCATGACTTAGGCTGTCTGGTCTTGCACTGTTCCCGCCAGGCCTTTTACGCAGCACTGCTCTTCTGCCTCAGCCCTGCCAATGTCTTCCTGGCAGCTGGTTACTCAGAAGCTTTGTTTGCCCTCCTAACATTCAGTGCCATGGGGCAGCTGGAGAGAGGCCGAGTCTGGACTAGTGGACTCCTCTTCGCCCTTGCCACTGGTGTGCGCTCCAACGGGCTCATCAGTGTCGGCTTCCTCATGCATTCTCAGTGTCGGGACTTTTTCTCTTCTCTTATGGTGCTGAATCCCCTGAGACAACTCTTGAAGCTGATGGCCTCTCTGTTTCTGTCAGTGCTTATGCTTGGCCTTCCCTTTGCCCTTTTTCAGTATTATGCCTACACTCAATTCTGTCTGCCAGGCTCGGCTCACCCCATTCCTGAGCCCTTGGTACAGTTAGCTATGGACAAGGGCTACCGGATTGCAGAGGAAAATGAGCCACCTTGGTGCTCCTGGGACCTTCCCCTAATATACAGCTATATCCAGGATGTCTACTGGAATGTTGGCTTTTTGAAATACTATGAGCTCAGGCAGGTGCCCAATTTTCTGTTGGCCACACCAGTGGCTATACTGGTTGCCTGGGCAACATGGACATATGTGACCACCCACCCTTGGCTCTGCCTTACACTTGGGCTGCAAAGGAGCAAGAGCAGTAAGGCCTTAGAGAAGCCTGATCCTGGATTCCTCAGTCCTCAAGTGTTTGTGTACCTGATCCACGCTGCAGTGTTGCTGCTGTTTGGAAGTCTGTGCATGCATGTTCAGGTGAGGTGGATTCCTGGCTGGGATAAGGATGTGAATACACTCAAAACCCCTTGGCCAAGGACAGGGAAGACAGCTAACTTCTCCCATTTGAGTAACCCATACCTAATTTATTCATTCAGCAACTATTTGGGGGGTGTTCTTTGTGCCAGACCCTGGGTTAGAGCTGTGAGGATGGAACATGAGTAAGATAAAATTGCTGCCCTAGTGGGTCTCATGGTATAAATAAGGAGAAAGAGATTCAACTGATAAAATTATAGTATAGTGGAATGGAAGCAGGGTACTGTTTTGAGATATTAAAAAAAAAAAAAAAGCTCAGCTAAAGTATTGTAGAAATGGAAAGGAAAAAGTAGCTAACTCGCTGAAGGTGTTAAAAAAGGCATCATATTTAAGCTGGGTCCTGAAGAGTAAAAAGAGATTTTCCATACAAGAAGCAGGGGGGGCACCGGGCGCAGTGGCTCATGCCTGTAATCCTAGCACTCTGGGAGGCTGAGCGGGCGATTGCTCGAGGCAGGAGTTCAAAACAGCCTAGCAGAGCGAGACCCATATTCTACTATAAATAGAAAGAATTATTTGGCCAACTAATATATATAGAAAAATTAGCTGGTGTGTGGCGCATGCCTGTAGTCAGTTACTCGGAGGCTGAGGCAGGAGATTGCTTGAGCCAGGAGTTTGAGGTTGCTGTGAGCTAGGCTGACACCATGGCACTCACTCTAGCCTGGGCAACAAAGTGAGACTCTGTCTCAAAAAAAAAAAAGAAGCAGAAGGGGAACATTCTAGGCAAATAGAAGAGGTCCTGATTTAACAGATATAGGAATAAGCACAGAGGATATCTCTGGGGGCTTCTCCTAATATATAGTTATTATACCCAAATTGGCTTCTTGAATATTGGCTTCTGGAGGTACTCTGAGCCCAGGCAGATGCTCAATTTTCAGAGGAGATATCTTTTCCAAAGTTTGAGATAACAATAAAGAGGGATGAAGCGTTTGATCTTATATCCAAATTTTTGTTCTTAGCTCGGCCACACCAAGGAAGTCTGTTTTCCTTACTGACCTTCTTAGCAGTTTCTGCCTCTTAGAGGTATATATTGGTTATATGTAAAGTTCTGAGCTGTGTATAAAAGGCAACGGGAGAAGAGGAGTAGCAATTCTGTTTTTGTACCGATTGGCTAGTAGAATAGTGCCAGCAAAGCTTAGAGTTCCAGTTAGACTGAGGAGGCCCATTGAGACTGGGCTCTGAATCCCCAAAAGAGGGAGAATGTTGAACCACGGATTTCGTACCTCCGTTCTCATCGCTCTGCCACCCCATGGAGTAAAGGGAACGTCAGGTCAGTCAACACAAATTTAAGTCCAGCTTAGACTAAATGAGACATAGAGTTTTAGTATTGATTGGCTCATTATTGGGTAATTACCTTTACTATGTTTTTTTTGTTTGTTTGTTTGTTTTGAAACAGAGTCATTTGTTCGGTACCAGCTGATGATGATAGCTGACATGCAATATGCTGACCAAGCAACTCACTCCTGGACCAATCAGCTCTCACTCCAAGTAGCTGTGGACACAACATGCGCCACCATGCGTAATTTTTTTACATATATTATTGTCAATTAATTTTTTCTATTTTTAGGAGATGGGTCTCTTGCTCAGGCTGGTTTGAACTCCTGACCTAAGCAATCCGCCTGCCTCGCTCAGAGTGCTAGGATTACAGGTGTGAACCACCACGCCGCCAGTTAGCTATGTTTATTTAACACAGAGTTGGCCTGGTGGCAACAACATATCTTTTAATAAGCTAGGTCCTAAACTCTGCTGAATTTCTTTCCAGCAGAATACACTTCTAGTTTAGGGACCCATAGTTCAGCCAGCAGCAGAGAATCCCACACTGGTCATTTGAAGTAGTGAATCCATAAATTGTGGTTTCCCTCTCCATGATTTCTAGGTCTCACCAGTTTGGGCTCCTCCACTCCATTGTCGTACTGGTTTCCACTCACTGCTTTCAGGATCAAGAGCCACTGTTGAGAGCTCTAGAGACTGTGCCTTGGAAGACTCCTGCAGAAGACTCACCACAGGACAGATGGTCCAGAAATTCTATCATGGACTTTTGTACACTGGAAGACCTGTCTCCCAGTCCACACATACATTCTAGGCTACTTCCTGAGTTTACTGGCTCCTGGATACTAATACATTGCAAACTTCCTGCCTTGGACATGACTGGAGTCCCAGGATCAGGCCTGAGAAGCCAACTTTACTCAGATCATGAAATAAAAATACACATTGTGACTTCCCTGCACTTGTCCTAGGACATTACTAGTTCCATAGAATCTCTCTTGAAGGCTGGTCAGGAATGGAGAAGACCTTAAGAAGCCCTTCTGGTCCTGGTTAGGCCAAATTTAGAATGGTAACTTTTTTACTGTAAGTGAAGATTACTTATTCATTACCTAAGTACCCTGATCTTCTGGTCATTCAGTGAAGGGACAGTCTCTAAACCTACCACTGACCCATGGCATAATATTAACATAAATTATTAAAACAAATTATATCAAGTCTGGTGACAGCTTGGTTGTAGTCCCAAGAGGTGCAGCAACAGTGCAGTGGCATGTAAGTGGACCATCCTTTATAATGACTTTTCTGATGACTTTTATGATATTGTGCAATTTATTATGTGAACAATCTTACAAAGATATGCAAAATAAATTACTTTCAATTATACATGCAATGAATTACCTTTTTTAAAATAATACAAAGTCATTCTGGAAAAAACAGGTAATGAAGAAAGGGCAGAGCAAGTCTCCAAATGTCATTGTCAGTAAAACCCTTGTGACGAACACCTGTGTGATCCGGGAGTGTTTTCCAAGCCTTAGTTTACCCCTCTGAAACAGAAGGAAATGCTGTTGTTCTTCGGGATGCTGGTGGCTGTATAGTCCTCCTTATATCTTTCAACCTGTAAGATCTTAAGACCCCCTAAACAACAGAAATCATCCCAGTCTAAACACTTAGGGGGCTTAAACATGTATTTTAGGAGAAATATCTCTGTTCTCTGTTTCAGCATTGAAAACTCTTCCTCCACCCCTGGGTGCAGCTTAAGAGTAACTTACAATCATCTTCCTTAAAGAGGGAAAGCAGCGACACCTGCAAAAAGGCTCCTTGCCCATCCGTTCTTGGCGTCGTGCTTATTGGGACATGTGAGAGGAGCCACCGCAGCGCATCAAATGTATGGTAAATTGAGGTAAGTCAGGTTGAATGAAAACGGCATTTTGCCCTTGTGCTTTTGCCACTGTTTGGTCACGAGCCTGTCACTCTAATGTATATAGATCATGACCCTGCTGAGCCTATTTTTTGCCCATTCCTTGAACAGAGTTGCCTTGTTATCACCCTCTCTTACTCCTGATTGAGCCAAAAATTCACAATAAGCAGAAACTCTTCAAATACAGATGGTAATCACAAAGCAGCTTCTGGAGAGCCCTGAGAATTGAATTTTGACACACTCCCTCCAACCGTGACAGAAAACTCAAACTTGCCAGCATGAAGGCGAAGCTCCTGGCTGAGCCCCACACCCCTGTTGGAGCTTCTGTGTCAGTCCTGCCAATAAGCCATTTCCCATCCATCGCCCAGCGTTAAGCACAGCTGAGAGAATTTGTCAGCAGTCAAAGCTTCTGAAAATGTACCAACAAATCGGGGCACGCCCTCTGCTTCTGCAAAACAATGAGTGCCCTTCCTGGCAAAGAGATCACCCCTGCCCTAGTGCTCCAGTTGCAGATACTCCTTTCGCTGTCTCCTCGCCACAGCTGCAAACCAGGCTTCCGTCCTGTTATACAGGAAGAGTAGAGTCCTGTTCAGCGTCTTTATTGCAAGGTAGGACCGCTGGGTCTTGCTCTCAGATCTCCTCTTTGCCTCTTTTGGGGATAATCAGACTGATAAGTTCCTGTTGGAAGAGGTGACTCAAACCCAACAAGATAGGTGTAATGTTTACTGCTCGCAGTCTCCGCTTAACCTCCACCACTAGATCTGCTTGTGCCAGAAACCCTGCAACTGAGACCTCATCTAGGTGGACAATTCTGTACAGCCTGGAGACAAGACACAGTTTCTTCTATGGCCTTGGAGGGATCTAGTTGCTGTTCTCTAAGATC